TTCATTCATAATCACCACAAATTAATTCATCATCATTCGCAGAACGAAGAACATCATTCGGATATACCTTTCAATTCTAAGCTCTGGCTATGTGTCGTTGTTGTTATTCGTGTTGTCGTTGAATCATCAAATGTTTTTCTTGCAAACAGGAAATGTTGCAAAATTATGAAGAAGAAGAGGAGGAAAAAATCGGAGATACATTTCAAATTCCAAACACACATGCCATGGTACCCAGTGAACAATTTTGGTGGAAATTTATATCAAGATATTATAATTAGTTTAAATTTAAAAAAGTGATTCAATAATCAATAAAAAATCATTTCTTTTTCTTTTTTTTAGAAAAAAATATTTTGTTACAAAAAAATTGGTTGGAATTTTTTAGTTACTAATATTTGGGAATATTCCCGTTCCATAGAAATGACTTGGCTGAGTTAAATGTTTCCATTAATGGCATTTTTCTTATATCTACGTTTTTTTATTTCAGTCGAATTCCCTAGAACAACAATTAGTACCTGATCTAGATTATTTTTATTTACGATAGTTAATGGTGTGTTTGAAGTGCATGTCGGGCTGGGTCTACGTGTTTGTGTTTAATGAAACAAAAAAAGTGATGAAACAACAACAAATAGTCTTTACAAAACAACAACAATAACAAAAATGCCACCGTTTAATGGATATTCGTTTCCCTCCCCCCAAAAAACCTTTTCATCAGTCATTTAATATGCCAGTCACACATCCATACATACATAGCAGAGCATAGCATCATCATCACAATCGTGCATTAAACGAAGAGTAACGAAACTAGAGCATGTACTCATAGCACTTTGTTTTTCTCCGACGATTAATCATTACACAGTAATCACTGCAGGTAGAGACGACGACAATGATGCTGTCTGTGGTAGTTGTTGTTGCTATTGTGTCTTGCACATGCATGGAGTCTTGAGTGTGTAATAAAGAGGGAGAGAGAGAGAAAGGCTTGTGATAAGCCAAGACTCTCCGCTGATATAGTCTACGATGATGTTCAACGACAATGATGCTGTCTGTGGTAGTTGTTGTTATTGTGTCTTGCATATGCATGGAGTCATGAGTGTGTAATAAAGAGGGAGAGAGAGAAAGGCTTGTTGTTATAAGCCGAGAGTCTCTGTTGATATACATTTCTTCTTTGAAGTCTTTGAGTCTTGATTGGTTGTGCAAGAGAGATAGGGAGAGACACAAGCAGAACTGATACAAGCCTCTCCATTGAAATACCTTTCTTGTGGTGTTAATGAAACGGTAAAAATATCATTTATTTTGTTTTTCGTTTATTTTTGTGGGGAGATGAAAGGGAAGTTGAAGATAGGATTGTTGTTGCTGTTGGTAACACTTCTCGATTTCATCATCAACATGATTCGATTTGAATGCAAAAAAGTATTGTAGACAGGAAGAGGAGGATATGTATTGAGATGATTTAATATACCAGTTACACATACATACATACAGACAGAGGCATCATCATCGTATTTATGCATTAAACGAAGGGTAATGCAACTAGAGCATATACTCGTAGTACTTTGTTTTTCTCCGACAATTAACGATTACACTGTAATCACTGCAGGTACACGACGACGATGATGTTCAACGACAATGATGCTGTCTGTGGTAGTTGTTGTTGTTACAATAACTTGCACATGCATGTAGTCTTGAGTGTGTAGCAAAGAGGTAGACAGAGAGAGAGAGAAAGGCTTGTGATAAGCCGAGACTCTCCGCTAATATACATTTCTTCTTTGAATGATGCTGCAAGTGCCATATGCAGTCTTGAGTCTTGATTGGTTGTGCAAGAGAGAGAGGGGGAGAGACACGAACAGAGCTGATACGAGCCTCTCCATTAAAATACCTTTCTTGTGGTGTTAATGAAACGGTAAAAAAGAGCATTTATTTTGTTTTTGGTTTTTTTTTGTGTGGGGAGTAGAAAGGGAAGTTGATGATAGGATTATTATTGTTGTTGTTGTTTTGTTGTTGTAACACATCTCGATTTCATCACTAGCAGCATCATTAACATGATTCGATTTGAATGTAAAAAAAGTATTGTAGACAGGAAGAGGAGGATATGTAATGAGATGATAGATAGGCTGGGTTGTGACGGTTGCATCAGTTGTTTTTGTTTTCGTGGTTGTATTTGTTGTTATTGTTGTTTACGAGAACAATATTATGAGAATATATGAAATAATTATGCGACTGGAGGGAAGCTCATAGAGGGATTTTTTGTACACCAGCAAAGGAAGTTAAAAAAAAATTAGTGAAATGTAATGGATTAGAAATGTTTTTATTGAATATTTTTTATTGAAATTTCTTCATAAAAAATATAATTTTTTTTAAATATATATTTTTTTTTTTTTTTTTGTATACAAAGTTTTTTTTTTGTACAGCAGCAAAGGAAGTTAAAAAAAAAATTATTGAAATGTAATGGATTAGAAATAAAGGGTTTAATATATATATATATATATATATATTAAAGAAATCAAAGTTTTTATTGAATATTTTTTATTGAAATTTCTTCATAAAAAATATAATTTTTTTTAAATATTTAATTTTTTTTTTGTGTACAAAGTTTTTTTATAAAATATTTATTTTTTATCTATAAAAAATTTAATAATTTTAACAATTTTTTCAATTAATTTAATTAAATTTATTAAATACCAAATTCAAATCTTAACGCCTTTTTAAACGTGTTCAATTAGAGAACATTAAATTCTATTTTTATTTGAATTCATTTAATTTTCGAATCAATAAATGACCCCCGCAAACTCTCCAATAAACAAACACAAAATCATAAACTTCGATCCGAACAATTTCCAATAACGATTAACATAAATGGTCAACTGATGGCTGGCTGGCGATTCAAGTCGAGTTGTGCAGAGGTGTATGGCGGGAGTGTACCCCAGGCGCTGCCATACATTGTTGTTGTGGCACATGTTCGTTTGTCACCCAGTATCGGTGCATGAAAAATCGCTGATGGCTAGTGTTTGGTGTGCGTCCGCATGTTCGCATCGATGTTGTTATTGTGGTGTTGCTATCAAACAATTGGCGTCGTCGTCGTCGCCGTCTAACACCCTGACGCCAGTCAGCTTGACGAAGTGTTTGATGACAACAACGGTATGCATGCATAACTGATATGGATGGTGGTGGATATGAAAATGGTCAACAGTGTATTTCCATCAAACCCTCCTCCCCCCTTCCTAACATAATGAAAATTGATGATCCATTGGCGGTTTTTTTCCCTGATTAGTTGGAGGTTATGATAAATATCTTTGTTGCAGGAATGCTGTGGCATATAATTTCCAAAAAATCTCTAATGATATACACAAAAAAATCGAACAAAAACAATTTAGACCATAACACGTTTTGACCCAAAAATTACCGATCAAAAATTTTTTTTTCAAAAAAAAAAAAAAAATAAATAAATAATTTTTTTAGCAAAAAAAAAAAAAACTTTAACCAAAAATTTCCAACTAATTTTTTTTTTAACAAAAAAAAAATATTTAAAAAAAATATCCAAATATAAAAAATTAAGAATAAAAACAAATTTAAGCCAAAACATTATTTAAAAAAATCTTTAAAATTTTTTTTTAACTAAAAAAAATTGTTATATAACCATATTTTTTTAGCAAAACTGATTTTCATAGATTTCTATTTCTATATTTGTTGTTGTTTTTTTAATGCATTTCGCTATTTTTTCTTTGCAACCACTTCCAAGCCCATTGGCCTCTTCCGTTCATATGTGGAGCACCACAAGCACTTAAAGTGCTTGCGGCTGAGTGCCTAATATTTATTTAAGATAATTGCATTTTCTATTTATTTAACAAATTAATTTATTTTCCTGTTGTTGGTGTTGTTGTTTTATTGTAAGTTGTAATTTGTGAATATTCTCAGTAGGGATTAGGACAAAACTTGTTATTTTGGGTCAACTACAATTATTTTCGATAGAAAAAAAATCTCCGTACCCTAGCTCGGAGTTTTTTCTATAGAAAAAAATCTCCGGACTCTAGTTCGGAGTCTTTTTCTATAGAAAAAAATCTCTGGACCCTAGTTCGGAGTCTTTTTCTATAGAAAAAAATCTCCGGACCCTAGTTCGGAGTTTTTTTCTATATAAAAAAATCTCCGGACCCTAGTTCGGAGTCTTTTTCTATAGAAAAAAATCTCCGGACCCTAGTTCGGAGTCTTTTTCTATAGAAAAAAATCTCCGGACCCTAGTTCGGAGTTCTTTTTTCTATAGAAAAAAATCTCCGGACCCTAGTTCGGAGTTCTTTTTTCTATAGAAAAAAATCTCCGGACCCTAGTTCGGAGTTCTTTTTTCTATAGAAAAAAATCTCCGGACCCTAGTTCGGAGTTCTTTTTTCTATAGAAAAAAATCTCCGGACCCTAGTTCGGAGTTCTTTTTTCTATAGAAAAAAATCTCCGGACCCTAGTTCGGAGTTCTTTTTTCTATAGAAAAAAATCTCCGGACCCTAGTTCGGAGTTCTTTTTTCTATAAAAAAAAATCTCCGGACCCTAGTTCGGAGTTCTTTTTTCTATAGAAAAAAATCTCCGGACCCTAGTTTTAATATATTTTCTTTCTTCACCTTTAATAACATCCCACGCCACTTTCCTCCGTATTGCCCCCCAATTAATTGATATTTTTATTCAACCTCCTGAGAATACCTTAAATTTATGGCTTGACCCGACATGCAGTAATTACAACAAAACGGCTAAATTTAATTTGTTAAATAAATACAGAAGCAATTAGCGGGAACAAATAATAGACATTTTGTGCGGAACACTTCAAATGGAGGCTAGCAAGTGGCGGTGCTGTGGCATAAAGCCAAAGGGCAGTCGAGGACTTGGGCGAAAAAAAATTTGAAAAAAAATCGAAGCAAGAAATTCGAAAAAAAATATTGATGATGGCTCTTTTAAATCTGACCTCATTATTGGCAGCGGAATTTCCTGCAAGGATTTTCAGTTTTTTAAGGGTCCTCCAGCACGAAATGGCCATAGAGACCCTGGTGTTTTACGATTATCAAAATCAGGGAGATTTAGTGGATATGTGGAAGCGAGCTGCAGGTGAACAGGTGACCGCCGATGAACCTCCTTTGGTGCTTGTCAGCCAACATATACCCTGGGTGTTAAAGGATCATTTGTCATGGAATTTTTTACCCCTGGTTTTTATTCAATCCCAGGGAAGTGAGGAGATTTTGGAGATTCTCTTCGCATCCATGAAACGCTGACATTTGAAACTTATCGCCTTCGTGGCCTCTGAGGATTTGGATCCGCCAGAGAAATGGTGGCCGTTGTGGCTGTGGTGCCGTAAAAATGGTTTCTTTAACACAATTCTAATCAACTTCGAGGACCATGAGAGAATGGTAGTTTTTCAGCATTACAACAACAATCAGCGGTTTATTACAACAACAAATTTTGAAGAGTTCTGGCATACAGAAGTTTGGGAAAATTCAAAAAATCTCCATGGCTTTCCCATACGTTGCGTTTTGGGCAATAATCCGCCCCGATCATTATTGTGGTGGTCCGGAAATGATACCAGCAGCCACCTCCACATCAGTGGGTATTATGCCACAATTCTGAAAATCTTTGCCAAGCAGTACAATGCCACACTGGACTGGATCATCAACTCCCACAAGGAATACTACAATGAACTGGACTGCCTGCACTATTTAAGGACCAATCGCACCGATGTCTGTGCCGATGCCATGATAATGGGTCCCAATTACATTGTCACCCAGCCGGAGGAGATAACCAACAGCTATCTCATTGTTCCGCAGGATACAGCCATGGATCGTTTTTATTATTTCATTAAACCCTTCCAGCCGGAGGTGTGGCTCTGGGGTGAATTTACGATGTGCTATGTCAGCCTCATGTTGTCTCTGATAAATCATCTGCAGGGTGGGGTATGGGATTTCCCCCAGAATTATTTAAACTCCATGATGGCAGCAGCGAACCTACCCTTCCAGCTGACGAAGATCCAAGGTTGGCGTCGAAGATTTTTGGAAATTTTCATGTTCCTCTGTGGCTTTGTCCTGGCCAATTGGTATTTATCCCTGCTCTCCAGTTTATTGTCCAGTCGCCTCTATGACCACTACATCACCTCCCTCGAGGACCTGGTGGAACACAACATCTCGATTATCATCAGTGAATATGAATATATTTTCCTCAATAGCACCGAGATCTCCCCCCTGCTCAGCCAACAGCTGAGGATAGTGGACAATGCATTCCTTTCCGCATCCCGTCGTAACCTCACAGCCCGCTATGCCTATTACAGTCAATATGATAAAAATTATTTCTATCTCAGGCAGCAGATCTTTATGGAAAAACCCCGGATGAAGGAGCTCGTGGAATATCCAATAAATCCGGTTTATGGTGGCATTCCACTGCGTCCCAATTGGCCTTTGGAGGGCAAGCTGAACACGCTGATGGGTTATATGCTGGAAAGTGGGGTATTTATAAGGATCCTAGAGGACACATTTTATGATGCCATACGTATTGGACACTTGAAATATTTTCCCATGGATCGCGATGCGGTGGAACCGCTAAGTTTGGAATATTTCCGAATGCCAGGTACTTTGCTGGTGGTGGGGTATACAATGGGTGCGATTTGTTTTATTGGGGAAATTTTTATAAGAAAATATAGAAATTAGAAAAAAAAATAAATTGAAAATTTTCCTCAGGCCCAGAAAAAAATTCTCCGGACCTCAATTCCGGACCTAATGTTCGGAATTTTTTTTCTATAGAAAAAATATCTAGAACTCTGTTTGGAATATTTTTCTATAGAAAAAATCTCCGGACCTTAGTTCTGTCTTTTCCGGCCCCTAGTTCCGAGTTTTTTTCTATAAAAAAATTTCCGGACTTCGGAGTTTTTCCTATAGAAAAAAATCAGAACTACAGTCCCGAGATTCCGAACTTGGGTCCCGAGATTTTTTTCTATAGAAAAAATACCGAACTAGGATTTCGAACAGAGGTCCGGATCTATAGAAACAAATTCCCAACCTGGGTTCCGGAGATGTTTTCTCCGAACTGAAGTCCGAAGATTTTTTTCTATAGAAAATAATTCCGAACTGAGGTCCGGAGATTTGTTTCTGTAGCAAAAAACGGAACTGGTGTCCCGAAAAATTTGAAAAAAATTTGGAACTGGGGTCCGGAGATTTTTTTCTGTAGACAAAAAATTTGGACTGGGGTCCGGAGTTTTTTTCTTTGTAGAAAAAAAATTCCGAACTAAGTTCCGGAGATTTTTTTCTATAGAAAAAATTCCCCGAACTGAGGTCCGGAGATTTTTTTCTATAGAAACAAATTCCGAACTGAGGTCCGGAGATTTTTTTCTACAGAAACAAATTCCGAACTGAGGTCCGGAGATTTTTTTCTACAGAAACAAATTCCGAACTGAGGTCCGGAGATTTTTTTCTATAGAAACAAATTCCGAACTGAGGTCCGGAGATTTTTTTTCTATAGAAACAAATTCCGAACTGAGGTCCGGAGATTTTTTTCTATAGAAACAAATTCCGAACTGAGGTCCGGAGATTTTTTTCTATAGAAACAAATTCCGAACTGAGGTCCGGAGATTTTTTTCTATAGAAACAAATTCCGAACTGAGGTCCGGAGATTTTTTTCTATAGGAACAAATTCCGAACTGAGGTCCGGAGATTTTTTTCTATAGGAACAAATTCCGAACTGAGGTCCGGAGATTTTTTTCTATAGAAACAAATTCCGAACTGAGGTCCGGAGATTTTTTTCTATAGAAACAAATTCCGAACTGACGTCCGGAGATTTTTTTCTATAGAAAAAATTCCGAACTGAGGTCCAGAGATTTGTTTCTATATTTTTTCTATTCCGAACTAGGGTTCGAATAAAAAAATAAATTCCCCTTCCCCCTTTTTTGTACCACTTTTGTGCGAAGAAAAACTTCAAAATTAATTTTCAATACATTTAATTGAGAATGCAATAAAATTCAATTAAAATTGAATTTTTGTTGTTGTTCCCAAACCGCTAATGCAGTTTTTATTACTTCTTGCTTTCGGCTTCGTTTTCATTCGAACGCAAACACACACAATTGATGGACTACCATCGCCGCCAAATGGCGCTGGACTCCATTAAAAGTGAAGTGCAACGAACTGAAGAAAAAAACCCCGATTCAGAAGTAGCGGTGGGATCGAAAATTAAAAGCTATGCTCATAAAAAAGTAGTTTGAAGAAAGATAAAAAAATAAAAATTAGGTTACAAACATAAATTAATGATACTCAAGAAGTCGATCGGAAGCCATGGCTGTTGGCTGCTGTCGGCTCTTTAACGCTTCATTGCCATGTGAAACAAGGCGTTTAATTTAAACAAATTAACAATCTAATTTTTGGGGGTTGGGAATATTTCCAAAAAATAAAAATTTCAAATGTTTCCCCCTTTCCCACACACCCTGCCCCCCACCCTCCGAAAAATAATCAATTTCATCGATTTTCAATTGCTATGGAATTTTCAAATTAATTGTCTCCAAATAAAACAGAAAAATCGATTCGGATGACCAAAGGGGGAGGGGGAGTGGGAGTGGGAGGGGAATATTTCCCCTTGCCGTCTTTAAAAAATTAAATTGTTGTTTGTGAAGTGTCAGACGACACATGTCATCTGAAATGTTTTATTGAATTTCAAGTTCCCGTCCCAATATGGGATTACAATGAATGAATGGTCTGGCGGGTGGGTGTGTTGGTGAAAAAAAATTAATTAATGGGATTTTTCAATGGACCTTTTAAGCTTCATTGGTTTTCAAGTAGATGTTTTATCGGTTGACAAAAATTACCCTACACCACTTGAAGAACTTCGTACTGAGCACAGGCTATTTTTGCTATAGAAAAAAATCCGAACTAAGACCCGGAACTTTTTTTCTATAGGTCCCGAGAATTTTTTTCTATAGAAAAAAATTCCGAACTAGGTCCGGAGATTTTTTTTCTATAGAAAAAATACCAAACTAGGATCCGCAGATTTGTTTTATATAGAAAAAAAATTCCGAACTGGGATCCGGAGATTTTTTTTTTGTATGGAAAAAATTCCGAACTAGGGTCTGGAGATTTTTTTTGTATAGAAAAAAAATTCCGGCGATTTTTTGTATGGAAAAAAAATTCAGAACTAGGGTCCGGATATTTTTTTCTATAGAAAAAATACCGAACTAGGGTCCGGAGATTTTTTTCTATACAAAAAAAAAATTGAACTAGGGTCCCGAGAATTTTTTTCTATAGAAAAAAAATCGGAAAAATACCAAACTAGGATACGCAGATTTGTTTTATATAGAAAAAAATTCCGAACTGGGATCCGGAGATTTTTTTTGTGTAGAAAAAAGTCCGAACTAGGGTCTGAAGATTTTTTTTGTATAGAAAAAAAATTCCGGAGATTTTTTTTTGTATGGAAAAAAATTCCGAACTAGGGTCCGGAGATTTTTTTCTATAGAAAAAATACCGAACTGGGATCCGGAGATTTGTAGAAAAAAGTCCGAACTAGGGTCTGGAGATTTTTTTGTATGGAAAAAAATTCCGGAGATTTTTTTTTTGTATGGAAAAAAAATTTTGAACTAGGGTCCGGAGATTTTTTTCTATACAAAAAAAAAATTGAACTAGGGTCCCGAGAATTTTTTTCTATAGAAAAAATCGGGAAATAGGGTCCCGAATTTTTTTTTTTATAGAAAATAATTCGGAACAAGGGTCCGGAACTTTTTTTCTATAGAAAAAAATCTTAAATTTGGGACCATTTTTTTTCTAAAAATCGGACTTTTGGAACACCACTATGGTGTTATTTATCTTCTTTTTATTTATTAAAAATTTGTCTTCAGATAAATTAGCATAGCTTCGAAGTTAATCCTCCTAATTCAGTTGATAAGACAACAATGATCCGATTGGACCATTGTTGGTTAGGAATTTTGGAATTAAAAAAAAAATAACAAAAAGAACCCACGAAAATGAAGTGAGAAATGTCAGCCAGAAAGACAGCAAGACATCGAAGTAAAAAAAAAACAAAAAAATCAAAAAAATACCTCGAAGTCCACAACAAAAGTCTGAAACTAATTAAGCCTTTTTTAAGATAAAGCAAGAACAACAACAACAAAAATAAAATATAACAATAACATTAAACACATTATGTTGTTGTTTTTGTTGTTTTTTCGGATCTACAACCTCTCTAAACTAAGGAATTTCAAATTTCATTCATTCGGCTGGCCTCAGGGCATTAATTCCGAAAAACAAAAAAATACGAAATCCAAAAACACGGACAGGAAGTGAATAATTTGTGGCATGAAACCCCAAATAACCAAAGTTGTTGTTTTTGTTGTAAACAAAATTCGAAGCAGCTTGGTTGGCTATCTTAAGCCTCCCAATGAAAAGGCGTAAAAATTTATTGGATATTTTAAAAAGGCGAACAGCAATTTCGAACACCAACAACACACGCCCCATTAAAACAAACACAAAGTATTTCAAACAACAAAAACAACAACAACAATATTTTCAAACAAGAAAAAGGTGACCAACCATGGACCGAAAATAAAATAACCCCAATATTCCCATTAATTATTTTCCAATTAATATTGAATTTCATTAGCTTACCTTCAGCGGGAGATTGAAAAAAAATATCCAAAATCTGAAAAAATCAAATGGAAGCAATTAGAAAATATTTTGGGAAAATGCAAAAAAAAAAATAAAAACTGAGGTCCTGAGAATTTTTTCTATAGCAAAAAATTCCGAACTGTGGACCGGAGAAATTTTTCTATAGCAAAAAAAATCCGAACTGAGGTCCGGAGAATTTTTTTTATAGCAAAAAAATTCCGAACTGAGGTCCGGAGAATTTTTTCTATAGCGAAAAAATTCCGAACTGAGGTCCGGAGAATTTTTTCTATACCGAAAAAATTCCGAACTGAGGTCCGGAGAATTTTTTCTATAGCGAAAAAATTCCGAACTGAGGTCCGGAGAATTTTTTCTATAGCAAAAAATTCCGAACTGAGGTCCGGAGAATCTTTTCTATAGCAAAAAATTGCGAACTGAGGTTCGGAGAATTTTTTCTATAGAAAAAAATTCCGAACTTAGGTCCGGTGAATTTTTTTCTATAGAAAAAATTCCGAACTGAGGTCCGTTGAATTTTTTTCTATAGAAAAAAATGCCGAACTGAGGTACGGTGAATTTTTTTCTATAGAAAAAAATGCCAAACTGAGGTCCGGTGAATTTTTTTCTATAGAAAAAAATGCCGAACTGAGGTCCGGTGAATTTTTTTCTATAGAAAAAAATGCCGAACTGAGGTCCGGTGAATTTTTTTCTATAGAAAAAAATGCCGAACTGAGGTCCGGTGAATTTTTTTCTATAGAAAAAAATGCCGAACTGAGGTCCGGTGAATTTTTTTCTATAGAAAAAAATGCCGAACTGAGGTCCGGTGAATTTTTTTCTATAGAAAAAAATGCCGAACTGAGGTCCGGTGAATTTTTTTCTATAGAAAAAAATGCCGAACTGAGGTCCGGTGAATTTTTTTCTATAGAAAAAAATGCCGAACTGAGGTCCGGTGAATTTTTTTCTATAGCAAAAAAATTTCGAACTGAGGTCCGGTGAATTTTTTTCTTTAGAAAAAAATGCCGAACTGAGGTACGGTGAATTTTTTTCTTTAGAAAAAAATGCCGAACTGAGGTCCGGTGAATTTTTTTCTTTAGAAAAAAATGCCGAACTGAGGTCCGGTGAATTTTTTTCTTTAGAAAAAAATGCCGAACTGAGGTCCGGTGAATTTTTTTCTATAGAAAAAAATTCCGAACTGAGGTCCGGCGAATTTTTTCTATTGCAAAAAAATTCCGAACTGAGGTCCGGAGAATTTTTTCTATAGAAAAAAATTCCGAACAAAGGTCCGGAGAATTTTTTCTATCGTTTTTTTCTTATAAAAAAAAATCCGAACCGAGATTTTTTTATAGAAACAAAAATTCGAACTGAGGTCCGAAGAATTTTTTCTATAGAAAAAAATCCCAAACTGAGGTCCGGAAATTTTCAAAATTAGATATTTGGGGATCTCATTGGGTGGACAATCTCCCTACCAAAAATTATCAGTATTGTCCAAAGTTTGAGGGTAGTCCCCATATAAAGCTAACCTCATTTTTCGAAGTTTTTGAGATTTTGGAGAGGTTTTCCAACCGATTTGGCTGTAATGTGGTACTTTGGGTTCTCATATGGTGGATAATCTCCCCACCAAAAATTATCAGTATTGTCTTACGTTTCGGGGTAGTCGCCATATAAAGCTAACCTCATTTTTCGAAGTTTTAGAGATTTTGCAGCGGTTTTCCAACCGATTTGGCTATAATTTGGCATTTTGGGTTCTCATTTGGTCGACAATCTCCCTACCAAAAATTATAAATATTGACTTAAGTTTCGGGGTATTTGCCATATAAAGCTACCCTCATTTTTCGAAGTTTTAGAGATTTTGGGGAGGTTTTACATACGAATTGGCTATAATTTGGTATTTTGGGTTCTCATTTGGTCGAGAATTTCCCCTCCAAAAATTATCAATATTGACTTAAGTTTCGGAGTAGGCTTCATATAAAGGTACCCTCATTATTCCATGTTTTTGAGATTTTGAACCGATTTTTAAAACGAACTGGCTGTAATTTGGCACTTTGGGTTCTCATTTGGTAGAGAATCTCCCCACCAAAAAGTATCAGTATTGGCCCAAGATTTGGAGTAGGCCTCATATAAATGTACCCTCATTATTCGAAGTTTTTGAGATTTTGGAGAGGTTTTTCAACCGATTTGGTTGTAATTTGATATTTTGGGTTCTCATTTGGGCAACAATTTCCCCACAAAAAATCGTCGGATTTTAGTTATTTTTCGGGGTATTCGCCATATAATGCAACCCTCATTATTCGAAGTTTTTGAGATTATGGTGAGGGTTTTCATCTGAATTGGCTAGAAATTGGTATTTGGAATTCTCATTGGATAGCAGAACTTCACATCAAAAATCTCCGGACCTTAATTCGGAGTTCCGAAGAATTTTTCCTTTGGAAAAAATTTTCGAGACCACATTTCCGCAGTTTGTTTTATAGAAAATTTTTTTTCTACAATAATCTTTTTATAAAATAATCTCCGGACCATTGTTCGGAGTTTTTTTCTGTATTTTTTTTTTTTTTAATTTTTATAACATTGTTGTTGTAATAATATTTCCAAATTACTTTTTTGCCTATTTGAACAAATTAACAGCCTCTCTGAAATGGCCACAAATTAGCCTGCGAATATTTTCGTCGATCATTCGTTCGTTCGTTTGTTTGTTTGTTACCAACATCAAACATCAAAATCTAAATGGCTTAAAATTATTTGCTTTTATTTTGCCCCTTTATGGCCTACGATGATTATTTGTCTTTTGTGTAAAGCGGCTCAAATGTACTTTACCGGCTGTCCGACCCGTTCGCTCGCTCGCTTGCCAAATGACCGCTTATGAACCCTAACTGGCCACGGTAATGTAATTTATTTTCTGTTTATTTTCAAGAAAGACAACATCATTACGAACTTCGGGGTAATTAACATTTTTGCCAAGGCTAAAATTGTCGGCAATTAGTTGAGCTGATCTGACAGACACACTTCGAGTTGATGAACGGTGTTGATTTTTTTATGAATGAAATTTTGAGGCAAAAGAAAAAAAATACATAACTGGTTTCATTTAATTTGTCGGATGGATTTTGTAATTATTTTCTAGGGAATTCTGATGGAGGATGAGGAGGGGGAGGGGGAAGGGTGGGGCAAAATGGAGAAGAAAATATTTTTTTAAATTATTTTAATGTTATGAATATTAAAAATTAAATTTTACAAAAAAATTTCAAAAAAATGTTGCAAGTTCGATCGAACATGTTGAAGTTTGATTCGAACTTCATGAAATTTGATCAGTTTGGAATGATATTTAATTCTCTAGAATTAAAATTCTTGAATTTGGAAAAAATTCCGCAATGTTCGATTCAAACTTAATGGTGTTCGATCAAACTTCTTAAGGTTGCATGAAAAAAAATTAAAATTTTTTGATATAAATCTAATATTTTTTCAATTATTTTAATGTTAATAATATGGAAAATTAAATTTTTTAAAAATTTTGAAAAAAAATGTTGCAAGTTCGATCGAACATGTTGAAGTTTGATTCGAACTTAATTAATTTTTTTCTGTAGAAAATGATTTTGAATTCTTTAGAATTAAATTTCTTGAATTTGGAAAAAATTCGCAATGTTCGATACAAACTTTATGTGGTTCGATCAAACGTCTTAAGGTTGCAAGGAAAAACATTTAAGATTTTTGATAAAAATTCATAATTTCTTTTAATTAATATCAATATTAAAATTGTGAAAAAATTTTTTCTTTTTATCCCATTTTGGAGATTTATTAAAATGGTTGTTTGTAACCTAAAAGAAGGTGAGATCGAACTTTATGAAGTTCGACTCGAAAATTCTTTAAAATTCTAATTTTATGTAGTTTGTTAGTAAATAAAAATAAAATACAAACTTTTTTGCAGATTTTTTTACGAACTTCGAAATGTTTGATTCGAACTTCGAACCAAGTTCGAAACAAAAAATGCTAATTTTTCCAAATTCTATCAGTATTATAGTAAAATATGATAAAATATCGTATTTCCCAAGATGTGTGATGCAACTTGAACAAGTTTGATTCGAACTTCGAACCATGTTTGAAGCAAAAAAAAATATTTTTGAAATATAAAACAGTTTAATGGTAAAAGAAACTAAAATATCAATTTTTCATAGCTATTTGTTGCAATTTAAAAACCAGTTCCATGCAACTTGAGCATGTTTGCTTCGAACTTCCCAGGGTTTGATACAAAATAAGGCCAAATTAAATATCAAAAAACATTAATTAAAGTTAAACTTAACTATGCTCAGTTTTTAGGCCATCGAAAAATTGGTCCTCGTCGTCTTCCGATTTCCAGACCTCCATAGGGGGGACCTCTAACTTTTCCGAATGGTGTTCGATTTAAAAATAGATTCGTAACCCAAATAACAATAAATTATTGAAGTGGTATGTAGGTATGTATGTATGTGTATGAGTCACTTTTTCAGGAATGTGTACCAAAAAAATAGACTCATACTCTTCAAATTGAGTTCTCAAAATTCCGCACAATCTCCAGTTATTTTTTTTCGAAATGATGTTCGAAAAGAAATTAAACACGTTTAGTTTGCACTTCACTTCAATCTTTGCTTTTTTTTTTGGTCTGATCATTACCTGCCCTGTCCAAAATCTCAGTTGGATGAAATTTGTTTTTACTTGAAAATTTCATTTGCTTCGTCATTTTGTCTGCTCCGCCGGCTGTCCGGCTATGACTCGAAAAAAAACTCTTAGCGGTTATTTTGAGCTGCTTCTTAATTTGTTGTTGTTGTTGCTTTTTTTGTAACCACATAAACAAAAGCTGTTGATGATGAAAAGATCAGATGTATAACCGCACAGCATGTGCCAAATTATGGTAGAGATTCTCCAACTGACTTGGATGGCTGGCTGCCTGGCTGGTTGGTTGGTGGTTTACGTATCAATTCTCTTTACGGATTTTTTATTTTTGATATGTTTATTAATACATTGTAATGATATCATGATTGGACTTGAAGTTTTCTTTAAAAAAGATAGGACTGGGTTCCAATGAATTTTTGCGAAACAGGGGTCCGACCATTTTTCCTATAAAAAAAATTGCGGAACTGGGGTTTCGACAATTTTTCCTATAGAAAAAAATTGCGGAACTGGAGTTCCGATAATTGTTCCTATAGAAAAAATTGCGGAACTGGGGATCCGACAATTTTTCCTAGAAAAAAAATTGCGGAACTGGGGTTCCTAGAATTTTTCCTATAGAAAAAATTGCGGAACAGGGGTTTCGAGAATTTTTCCTATAGAAAAAAATTATGCCGCCTTCAAAAATATCGAATATTGGGTATTCCGTTATATGGAACCCAGCCTAAAAACTGAACCAATGTTGATAATTTTTGCTGTGAAGGTTCGCCACCCAATGGCAGTACAAAATACCAAATAACGAACAATTGACTTGAAAAACCTGTCAGAAATCCCAAAAACTTCGAAAAATGAGGGTAACTTTATGTGGGAGCTACCCTAAAAAGTGAGTCAAAATTTATAATTTTTGGTGTGAAGGTTTGCTACCCATTAGGAACCCCAAAAACCAAATTGCAGAAAATTCGCCTGAAAAAAAAAAACTGCCAAAAATCTCAAAAACTTCGACAAATGAAGGTAGATTTATATGGCGACTACCCCGAATCTTAAGTCAATACGTATAATTTTTGATAAGACGATTTGCTGCTCAATGAGAATCCAATATACCAAATGACAGGAAATTCACATAAAAAATCTCAAAAAACTTCGAATAATGAGGGTAGCCTTATATAGCGACTACCCCGAAACTTAAGACAATACTGACAATTTTTGATAGGGAGATTGTCCTCCAAATGAGATCCCCAAATAAATCGGTTGAAAATCTTCTCCAAAATCTCAAAAACTTCGAACATTGAGGATAGCTTTACATGGGGCCTACCCTAAAATGTGGGAAAACTTTTATAATTTTTGGTGTGAAAGTTTGCTATTCAATGAGAACCCAAAATACCAAATTACAGTCCATGTTGTTGAAACACCTCTCCAAAATCTCTAAAACTTCGAAAAATGAGGATAGTTTTAAAAGGGGCCTACCACGAAACTTAGGCCAATACAGATAATTTTTGTGGAGACATTGTCCACCCAATGAGAACCCCAAATACCAAATTGCAAAAAATTCGCATGAAAAATATATTCAAAATCTCAAAAACTTCGAAAAATTAGGGTAGGTTTTTATGGGACCTTCCCTTAAACCTCGACCGATATTTATAATTTTTGGTGTGAAAGGTTACTATCCAATAAGAACCCAAAGTACCAAATTGCAGTCAATTTGAATGAAAAATCTCTCCAAAATCTCAAAAACTTCGAACAATTAGGGTAGCTTTATATGGCGACTACCCCGAATCTTAAGTCAATACGGATTATTTTTGGTAAGACGATTTGCTGCCCAATGAGAATCCAATATACCAAATTTCAAGAAATTCACATGAAAAACCTCTCCAAAATCTCAAAAACATCGAACAATGAGGGTAGGTTTATATGGGGCCTGCACCGAAACTTGGACCAATACTCTTAATTTTTGGTGGGGAGATTGTCCACCCAATAAGAACCCAAAATATCAAATTATAGCCAAGTTGGTTGAAAAATGTGCCCAAAATCTCAAAAACTTCGAATAATTAGGGTAGCTTTACATGGGGCCTACCCCGAAACTTAGGCCAATACTGATCATTTTTGGTGGGGACGACATTGTCCACCAACTGGGAACGCAAAATATAAAATTATAGCCAATTTGGTTGAAAAATCTGACCAAAATCTCAAAAACTTCGAAAAATGAGGGTAGCTTCATATGAGGCCTACCGTGAATTTTATCTCAAATCTTATAATTTTTGGTGTGAAGTTTCGCCACCCAATGAGAAGCCCAAATACCAATTTATAGCCAATTCGGTTGAAAATTCTCTCCAAAATGTCATAAACTTCGAATAATGAAGGTAGCTTTATAAGGGGGCCTAACCTAAAAAATGGGCCAACATTCATAATTTTTGGTGTGAAGGTTCGCTATCCAATGAGAATCCAAATTTTCGAATTACAGAAAATTTGCTTGAAAAACCTCTCCAAAATCTCAAAAACTTCGAATAATGAGGGTAGCTTTATATGGGACCTATCCAGAAAATTAAGTCAAAACTGATCATTTTTGGTAGAGAAATTATCCACCCAATGATAATCTAAAATACCAAACTACAGAAAATTCCTTTGAAACCATTATCCAAAATCTCAGTAACTTCCAATAAAGAGGGTAAAATTCTGGACCCTCTGGTGCCTATTTCTTTCCTATAGAAAACAAAAAAAATTACCGGACCCCAGTTCCCTATTTTTTTCTATTGAAAAAAAAATCACCGGATCCCAGTTCTCTATTTTGTTCTATAGAAAAAAATTCACCGGACCCCAGTTCCCTATTTTTTTTCAATAGAAAAAAATTCCCCGGATCCCAGTTCCCTACCTTTTTTCTATAGAAAAAAAATCACCGGACTCCAGTTGCCTATTTTTTCTATAGCAAAACCTTATCGAGGCCACAGGACTACAGGTCCTATTTTTTATATAAAAAATCTCCGGATCTTCAGTTCCCAATTTTTTCCCCGAGAAAAAAGTTCCTTGCAACAATTTAGTGGCTGCCTTTGGTGGAATGCCACTTTTCGAATATCTTCCCAAAAAAAAAAAAAATAATTATGGCAGTCTTGTCTTCAGCTACAACTTCTTGTACATGAGGATGATGATGTTGTTGTTGCTTTTGTATCTGCCTCTCTGCTCTCGATGGTGATGTTAACAACCTTGGTTTAGATCTTGTTGTAGTTGTTGTTATTT